CACACTCTACCTTCTAACCAAAGTCCCCCCGTGAAACCATCGGACAGAAAAGATGCCAGTGTCACAGCATTCAGGCCCACTCCCTAGCGGACGGCTGATTCTGTCTTCATTTACACCTCTGCCTCGTGCTGTAGTAATGTGAGGAGCGCGCGGCCAGGGGACCCTGAGCTTCAACACAGATGCTAGCGTCAGCAACACAAGTCTTCCGAAACCCCATCAATACGCTAGACAAGAACAAAGGGAGACACTTCCCCAAAGAAACATGTTTTCCTTTCACAGGTTTTGATTTTGGTTTCAAACCAAAGGGATTTTATGCACGTTCCTGGAGAATTTTCAAAACACCCCAATTCTGAAGCAGAACCCTTGGGCGTGTGTATGCAAAGTGGGATGAATGCTGGGGAGCAAATGACACTCGTGGGCACTGCTGGTGAAGGTCTGAACCAAACCAGGGTCTTTAGGACCCACTGAAACTATGACTTTTTTTTGTGTGTGAGGAAGATTAGCCCTGAGCTAACATCTGTTGCCAATCCTCCTGTTTTTGCTGAGGAAGATTGGCCCTGGGCTAGCATCCGTGCCCATCTTCCTCTACTTTATGTGGGACACTGCAAACCCTGGGCTGCCGCAGCAGAGCACACACACTAACCTCCACGCCACCCAGCCGGCCCCTACAACAACTTTTCAAATAAGGGAAACAAAAAAACCTAAACGAGATTCAATTGTTCACTCTCTACAATTTGGAAAAAGCGTGTTTATGTTGGGTTCTAGACAACGTTTTATATAGTCATGTGCCACATAATGATGTTTCAGTCAATTACAGGCCGCATGTACGACAATGGTCCCAGAAGATGAGTACCACACAGCCTAGGAGAGTAGGAGGCTGTGCCACCTAGGTTTGTGAAAGTACACTCTGTGATGTTCGCACAACAAAATCGCCTAATGACGCATTTCTCAGAACATATGCCTGTCATTAAGTAACTCGTGACCGTACATCCACCTGAGCTCACCCTGGAAGTGTAGCTGAGTCCACATGTCTACGTTACCCTCAGTGGAAAACAAACTTGGCCACAATCTGACGAATCCAAGCAGTGCAGGAAGTCAGCTGGGGTCATTTGAACCAAATATACAGGTGAGATGTTTGCATCTATTGTTGGAGAAGGACCACCTTGCTGAGGGCTCTGGGCTTTGTTCTGTGTATATGTACAGCCTTCCATGTCCTAAAAATAGCTTAAGATGACTTCCAATAAAAGATAAAATTTAACACAATAAATGAAATAAAAATGAGCAGACAAGAAAATCAAAGGAAAGGAGGGAAATAGGTAAGGCCGTGCTGGTCCAGTAACCAAGGGCACATTGGGAGCTTCTGTCCCTATGCAGGGTGGGCCAGACAGGTGTGCCCTGGGTGTCAGAGCAGAGAGCACAGTCTCCCCAGAATCCTCCTGTCTGATGTGGTGTGTCTCACTCTTACAGGAAATATTGTAACCCAGCTCAGCCAGTCCCCCAATGAGAGACGGGAGGAGCAGAAGGAGAGGAATTCTCAGGCAGGCACATGGTGTGGTCCTGTGGGCAGTCATGTGACGCTCAGGCTCAGGCCAGGATGGGCCAGTCGCTGCAGCAATAGTTGTCCAGCCTTGTTGGCCACAGTACCTTGTGTGGAAACCCAGCAGCCTAACTCAGATGAAAGCAGAGGTCTCTGACTGACCCCCGGCTGGGGAGACGGGTCCTCCCTGCTTGGGGACCCCAACTACCCAGGGCAACACCAACTTGAGACCCTCCCTCACACCCCTCAGGGGCCGAACAGCATGGTGTGAAATCCACGCGGGGAGAATAGTGGTTTCCTAGTGGGTTTTACAGACTATGAAGTGGCGCTGGTGGTGGGGGAGGGTGGGGAGGGCAGTTTCCCACAAGCCAGTTGAGCACGTCTGGGAAACACTAGTAGCCAAGTTGTATGGCTCTCAGCAGTGGGTTTTCTGATAGCCTTTAATAGTACAAAGTCATCAAGAATCTACAAGGGTGTGGGGAGGTCTCACATGCCACATTCCACAACCATACTGGACAGAGGTCACATTAGGGGATAAGGCCATACTGGTTTAACATCCAAGGGCATGCTGGGAAGCTATTTCCTTCTGCAGAAGCTATTTCTTCTTCTGGCGTGCATCTCTGTCTCCTGGGCAGGCTCTCACAAATACCGGATCTCTAGGCTCCTCTCTGTACCCCACCAGCAGGCTGACCCAGGGAAGCAGCGGCTGCCGAGGGCTATCATCTCTGCGACCTCAATTGCTCTCATGCTTGTGGACACTCACTGCTTCTTTGAACACTGGGGTCTTGTGGCTACTGTGCTGAATACTGGCTCGGGCAACAAGCCAGAGCCAACAATCATGCTGCCTCTTTGAGGCCCTGTCCTGTGGCTTCAGATGCAGAAACTTCTATTTCCCACAACAACCACTGAGGTGGGAATTGGCAGAGCTGGGCTCTACATATGGGCCATCTCCTTCACATGGTGGGCACTGATCAGTGTGAACAAGACACCAAGCTCCTCTGCCCAACATATTAGGAGTAGAAGGCGTTTAATGGCCACCATCGCAACTAACTATAGAATCAACAGCAGCTTCCCTGGGGAGCTTTAAAAGTTACCAATTAGTAAAAGATCAGTAATCCAGGGGTGGTGCTGCTGAAAGTACACAATCAATCTGAACTCAGACACAAGAACAGCATAAACTAAACTGACCTCAACAGAAGGACACTTGGTTCAGCTCTCAGAGCCTCCAAAAGACACTTACATCCAAAACTTGGAATAGCAGAACAGGTGAGTAGAAATTGGTTATTTGCTTATAAAAATATATATTTTTATGAAAGGCTTGGCTAAGAACTCTTTGGAAATGGGTTTTCTTGGTGCCTGTATAATATAATTACAACATTAGATTTCCCTATAAACTTTCAAGAATGCCTTTAGTATATAAAGTAAACCATAGTGGTAGAGTTCAATCACGGGCATGTTTAACCCTCAGTTTCCACGGAGGCCTTAAAAGCTCCACCATGTACCACATCTGCAGGACGTTGCTGAGGATTCTTCTTCTGGATGCAGAGGCTTCTTTTTGACATTGATTTGTCAAATGGTTTCCTACAAGTGGTCTCTGACTATTCACTAAAATAAGAAAAATGTCACATGATAAAAAATGAGGCAAGAGACAGAAAGCATCACAGAGACAAGAAAATTTAGTTTGCAAAAGGTCTAATAAACCCAAGGCAATTCTAGTACAACCAGAATTCAACACCAAGTTTCCCAAGTCCAAGAATGGCGCTCCACTTCACCCATTTTGCTGCTCCGACTTCACTAAAATCAAAATGGAATGGGATTGGAGAAAGACACCCGGATCTCCAAACCCATTAATGTCTGTTCCATGGCTTTCTTGTACAATGTTATTATTACTTCTGCCCATTTAGAATCTAATGCAAAGAGTGTCGAGACCCTCATCAAAGGGAGCAATGGGATTGTCCACTTGTCCTCCACCTACCGCCACTCCTGAGGAACAGGACTTGGTCTGTGCCCCTCGCATGCCCCTTGGTCATTTGTATATGTGTCTTTCTCCCCAAAACTGGGAGGCCAGGCAAAGTAGGACAGCCCGCTTTGGCCAGCACACTGTGTGTGCACAGCCAGCAGCAAATGCTCAATAAATCTGTCAGGAGAATTGAAATGACATGAAATCATCTCAAGTTGTAGTATCTATAAAGGGAATTCAGTAGAAATTGTCAACAATTCTCTTTAGAGACAACAACCACCACACATGAGAAGGTGAATAGTGTCATACGTTCCCACATTTCCCCAGGCATGTGGCAGAGTGCCCTGCCCACAAGGCTACACTGCATGTGACTTTTCATGGGTCGGATGAATGAATGATTGACTAAGTTAATGTTCAGACTTTTCTTTTAAATGCTCTCACTACAAAATACCATTCCTTTGCCTTGGCAATTTTCTTAAACCATTTTCTACAAATATATGAAGATGAATTCTTCCCTTAGTGTAGATTACTAATGTCAGTTCATTCCCACCATGTGTGTCTTGAGTCCCTTCAGAGAGAAACATCAACTCTTTTGAGCACAAATTTCTTCAGTGATGAAGAAGAGGCATCACAGTGGTGCTTAAAACATAATTGAGGTGTGTAGATTATTTAGCAGCTAATTACTACAAATAATTGCTTTCTAAAGCTCAATCTTTAGACTTTGGTTGGCTAACCCAAAGATACACAATAGGGCAATTTCAATGAAATAAACATGAGGTATTTTCCGAGGTCATTGTTTAGATTAAAGAATTCCACAACTGCCAAAGCAACACAAGCTCATCGTCCACAGAAATGTAGCTACTTCACAGACCCAGTCCTAGCTTTCCACTTCTCCTCTTCAAGATGACTCAAAGTCGGCATTTTTCTAAAGGTATAAGCTCTACTGGCTATGAATTTATAAAAACAATACTTAAATACAGAACAGCCCTCCCGAAGTTTAGAATCTAGTTGATGGTGGAGAATATACTCACCTGTTCAAAATCATTGACCCCTTAGTCTACTTTCTAAACTACTACTCCCATGCATATTTCTACTTGCAATTCTATGCATTTTATTCTTTGTGTAAACTGTTGAAAATTCTCTCCTGACACCTCGACTTTCTTTTTAAAAAGAAACAACACAGTTCAGTAAATTTTAAAATATCAGTTTAGTATCAGGGTTTCATATACTAGAGAAACAAACATAAATACTCCATTTGTCTACAGCTTAATAACAGAAAGGGCTTGGAAGTGGAGAGTGTCCTCCAGGGTGCTCTATCAAGAGACACACGTCACAAACACGGATGACCATGCAGAAGTCTTGAGACACAGCGTGTCCTGACTCCCTGTCACCAGTCACCAGCACTCAAGGCGGCAGCCTTTTCCTCTGGAAATTTCTAGGCTGTTAACCTCTGAAATAATTCCTTTCTGAAATAAAATCACAGGATTCCATTTTCAAGAGGGCTTACCTGGTAATTTGCGTTCTTGTACTGAAGTCAAGAGACCTCATGGAGCGTAGAACTTCAATGCACCCCAAGTACTGCAAGGGGAACAAACGCAAATCATGAGCCTGGGAAATGGGGTGAGGAGACAATTCCTAACCACATCAAGGACATTTCTGGAAGCCATGCACATTTCTTAAACTTCAACTCTGTATTAATGGTGACTCTTTGTTCTGTTTCTATAAAAGCAATAAGTCACATCTATAAGAACATATCCTGAGTGCTTAGACTGGCACTACACTCGACTTTTCTGAAACCCACAATATTTTCATTATATTTAGAAGTACCTTTTTAAGACGAAATCTTGCCATTTGTGACAACATGGATGGATATTGAGGGTATTATGCTAAGTGAAATAAGTCAGACGAGAGAAAGTCAAATACTGTATGATCTCACTCATAAACAGAAGATAAAAACAACGAACAAACACATAGAGACAGAGATTAGACTGTTGGTTACCAGAGGGAAAGGGGGGAGGGAAGAGGGTGAAAGGGGTGACTGGGCACACGTGTGTGGTGATGGATGGTAATTAGTCTTTGGGTGGTGAATATGATGTAGTCTATGCAGAAATTGAAATGTAATGATGTACACCTGAAATTTATAGAATGTTATAAACCAATGTTATCTCAATAAAAAATAAACAAATACATAAAAAACTGGTAAAGGATCTGAATAACATTCCTTCAAAGAAATGGTCAATCAGCACAAGAAAAGATGCTCAACATATTGGCCATCAGGAAAATGCAAATCAAATGCAAGATATTTACGAAAGCATTATTTGTTATGACATACCACTTTACACCCACTAGGATGGCTATTTAAAAAAAAGCTAAATAATAACAAGTGTTGGGGAGGATGTGGAAAAATTGGAACCTTTATAACACTGCTGGTAGGAATGTAAAATGATGAAGCCACTTTGGAAAACAGTCTGGCAGTTCCTCAAAAAATTAACCTAGAGTTACCATTTGACCCAACAATTCCACTCCTAGGTATATACCTAAGAGAAATGAAAACATGTCCACACAAAAACTTGTACATCAATGTTCATAACAGCATTGTTCACAATAGCCAAAAGATGGAAACAACTCAAAAGTCCATCAACTAGTGAATGGATAAAAAAACTGTAGTATACCCATAAAATGGAATATTCAGCCACAAAAAGGAATGAAGTACTGTTATATGCTATAGCATAAATGAACTTGAAAATATTATGCTAAGTGAAAGAAACCAGACACAAAAGGCATTGTAGGATTCCATTTATATGAAACGTCTATATAGTTAGAATAAATACTACTTAATGAAGCTTTTGTTTCAGTCATATATAAATATAAAGGTGATAGGCTGTGATGTAAGAAAAATAAGTACCTTTTTAAAAACATTTGTTGAGGTATAACGTATATACTGTAAAATGCAGAAATCTTAAATGTATAATTCAACGATTGTTTAACATATACCTGCCGTGTAACCACCACCCAGACCCCAACATCCTCACAACAGATTCCTAGTCCTTTACAGGCTTCTAGATGTCTGTAATTTTTAAAGAAAGAACAAAAACACTACAATACCAACATTTTCACCAACATTAAACTTCGCTATTTAATAAATATATTTTGGGTTAACTATAAACTATAAACAAACAAACTATGAATTACCCTCAAAGATGCTTTATTTTGGTTTACTGGAAAGCCCTCTTCTGCATTATTTAATATAAATTTCCAGAAATTCAATTCATACATCTGAATTTGTAACTAAATTTTTTATCAGTTTCACACATGATAATATATATGTATTTGTGAATACGTGGACATTACTAGAACTGTAGATAAACAGCTAGAATGGATGAGATACAATATTTGTGTTCCAAAGCCCTCAGTGAGTTTGAAGCTACAAATGTTTTATAACAATGCCTTTAAATTTAGATTTAGCAGGAAGAGACTGAACGGTGTAGTACAGAAAAGACGGAATTTGAATTATTCAGAAAACCTGAATTTGACCCTGACTCTGTCATGTCTTGCTATGTAACTTGAAGCAAAACTTTAAACTCTCTGAGCCTAAGTCTCTACACTCATAGAATGTGACTATTACTCCAACCATTGCGAGTTATGTGAAACCACTACCACCACATCAAGGAGTTATTTGAATACCACCCCCACCTTCAGTTATGAGGATACCATGACCAACATCACAGAGATGCATGAATTAGACGACCACCAACATTGCAGGGTCACGTGATTACAGCGACCAACATCACAGATTCATGCGAATACCAGGACCAATATCACAGTCCATGTGACTACCACCACCACCAAAGTCACAGAGTTATGCAAACAGCACATCCACCATCGCAGAGTTAGGTGAATACCATGACCAACACTGTAGAACTGTGTAAACACCATGACGATGTCACAAGTTTGCAGGGTTACGTGAATACCACCACAGCTACCATAGAGTAGTGTGGATGCTATCACCACCACAGCAGGGTTACGTGAAAACCACTGCACTGTTGCTAAGATATGTGAAGACCACGACCCACTTTGCAGAGTTATGGGATTGCCACATCCAGCACTGTCACAGTTACAGGAACATCACAACAATGTCCTAGAGTTATGTGAATACCACATCTAGCAACATTACAAAAAGAAGTAATTACTATGACCAAAGTGACAGAGTTGTGTCCATAGCAACACCTCCACCTCTCAGAGATTCGTGAATACCATCACCACCACCATTCCAGAGTTATGCAAATTTCACATCCAGAGTCACTGTGTTATGTGAACACCCCATGACCACCATCACAGATGTGTGACTACAACAACCATTGCAGATTATCCAAATAATATGCCCACCATCACAGAACTCCAGCACAAAACACTGTCACAGGTGTATAGATACCACCACCACCATCACAGAGTAATGTGAATACTGTGAACACCGTCACAGTTATGTGGATACCACTGGCAACACTGTAGTGATATTCAAGTACCATGACCACCAACATAAGGTTATATTAATATGACCGTGACCACCACAGAATTATCTAAAATGCCACATCCAGCCTCAGAGTTATGTGACTACCATGGCTGAAGTTGCAGAGCTATGTGAATACCAAATCCATCAATATCACAGAGTTGTGTGAATACCATGATGGTCATCATACAGTTAGTTGGATAACACGACTAGTGTCACATTGTTGAATGTATCTGAACACCAGCATCACAGAGTTATGTAAATATAAGCACCATGGCCATCATAGAATTATGTGAATACCACCACCAACACCACAAATACCACCACAACTACCATTACAGAGTTATTTGAATACACCACCCAAACCATCTCAGATTTACGGGCCTACAATCAACACTATCGAAGAGGTATGTGAATACTGCCATTAACATCACAGAGTTATGCGACTATAACCAACAACCTCACAGTTATGTGACTACCACAACCACTGAAGACCACACCAGTACTGAGGAGTTATGTGAATACTACTACCACCATCCCTGAGTTATGTGAAGACCATGACAAACTTTGCAAAGTTATAGGATTAGCACATCCAACACCATCACAGAGTTATGTGAAGACCACCACAACCACTGTCATGGAGTTATTTGAATACCACAACCACCATGGCAGAGCTACGAGGATATCACCAACAAAGTCACAGAGATATGTCAACACCATGACTATAGTCACAGAGTTATGCAAATACTATCACCTCTATTGCAGAGTTTCGTGAATACCATGACCACCAATATGGCTGAGTTATGTGACCATGCTGACCAAAGTCACAGATTTATGTGATTACCACCACCACCACCTTGCAGTGACATGTTAATGCCAATGCCACCATTGTCATAGAGTTGCATAAATACCATGACCAAGTCACAGGGTTATCTGAATTATACCATCACCACAGTCAGAAGATATGTGAATATCACCACCAGTGCTGCATAATCATTCCAATGCCATGACAAATAAATGTCACAGCATTATAGGAATACTGTGATGAATTTCATAGCATATGTGAATACAACCTCCACCGATGCTGCAGGGTCATGTGAATACACGACCACCACCACATGGCTTTTTGAATACCTCCTCTACCAACATCATAGTGGTATGTGAATACCACAACCAACCTCACAGAGTGATAGGAATAACACCAGCAACAACGTCATGTAGTTACATAAATGCAACTACCACAGCTGCAGATTGAGTGTATGTAAACACTACCACCACAACAGGGCTATGTGGATACCGTGACCCACATCACAGATCTGTGTGAAAAGACAGCCAATGATGTGGTTGTGGGAATACTACCACCAACATGACCACTGAGTTATGTGACTACCACCTCCATAACACAGGGTTATGTAAATACCATGGCCAACATTGCAGTGCCATTTGAATACCATCACCACCACACCATTGTAGTTGTATGACTATCATTACCACCACAGCAGGGTTATGTGACTACCATGACACATATCACAGAGTTATTTGGATACCACCACCACCGATGGAGCATTACACGAACACCACCACCGACATCACACAGTTATGTGAACACTGCCACTGCATTGCACAATTATGTCAGAACCATGACAAATGTCTCAGAGTGATAGGAATACCTCTGCCACCAACATAGAGTTGTGTGTAAACCACAGTGTCACAGAATTATGTGAGTACCACCAACACCATCGCAGAGTTACGTATGTACCACGACCAACACAGAATCCTGTGAATACCACTATGACCATCACAGTTATGTGAATACCACCAACAACAAAAACACAAAGCCTTGTGAATCCCATGACCAACATAGCAGAGTCATGCAATTACCACCACCACCACCACCAGCACAGCTATGTCAATACCTCCATTACTGTCACTGACTTATGTGAATACAACCACCACCACTGTCCCAGAGTTACACGGTTAGCACCACCGTCGCATTCACAGTGCTGTGTGAATACCACCCCCAACGTCCCAGAGTTGAATAACCCTCCCAAGGGTCTGTAGCAATGTGTCC